AGAAAAAACAGGTGAACATGCACAGCCCCATCCACAACGGTGGATTCAGACTCGACGTACAGATATGTGGCACAGGAGTGTTGGGAGTTACCTTCTCAAAGTTTTGTCTTGCATTTCAAATGTCTGAAAGTTACATAGATTATGTCATATATTTCCAGTTATTTTCAGTCCTCTAAAATGCTTCTTTGTCAAGTTATCAAACCACCTAAGAAACTTTAAAGAAAATACTGTGAAAAGTAGAAGCAGCTGTATTCAGAGTCAAGAAACCTTGAAGAAATCTTGCTGAATGGCAGGGTGATCTTGGGTTCGTCAAACGAATGTTCTGTATTAGATAAAGCAGATTGAACAGTAATTACTCATTTCATAAAATTAAAGACATGACGGATAGTTGTCTAAGTTTCCAGAAGTTTTAAACCCCGTTTGATAGCACTTCTTTTTCTGTGGGGACACAGGGACTGGAGGATATTGCTTTGTGGGAAGACAGGACATCAGGGACTTTGTTGGGAGTGGATGTCGCTAGTCATGGGAAGAGAATGGGGAACGGAGATCGCAGGAAGAGAGAGTGAGCAAAGCAGAAACAAAAAGTTTTGGGGCAAGCGAATGGGGCTCAGCCAGAACAAGAAGTGTGCCAGGGTGAACAGGAAGCTTATGATACAGAAAAGGCTAAATGGAACTACTGGGAGAGTCAAAAACTGTCAGGTTTTGCAGGGAGTCCTGGAAACAGAGAGAGGTAAGAGGGCAGTGCAAGCCTGACAGCAAGAAGAAAAAGAAAAGTACCTGTTGCGACATGAACCCAGCCTAGGAGCGCGTGGCCGCCCCTCTCGCCAGGAAGCTGTGCTGCACAGGCATCAAGCGCTGGCGTCAATTAACGGGTACGAACGCTGGAATGCACATTACAGCTTCCTTTCTTTTTCCCTCCCTAAGGTACCATAACTTCTTGGGTGGTGATTTTTATACTGCCAATAAATAGTGCTTTGAATCCTCTTCTCTACACTTTGACTACACGCCCTTTCAAAGAAATGATTCACCAGGTTTGGTATAATTACAGACAAAGAAGATCCAAAAGAGGTAAAGGCAGTCAGAAAACATACGGTCCGTCGTTCATTTGGGTAGAGATGTGGCCAATGCATGAAATCACGCCAAAGCTAACGAAGCCCGTGCTTTGTACAGACTCCTCTGACGCTTCGGTGACTACGCAGTCCACACGACTAAATTCATACACGTAAATACATTTTGAATCTTCACGGTGGCGGCTGCACTGTTAGCTTCACGTCTGTGGGCTTACTGCTTTACACCAGTGAGGAAAAATGAGGGAGGTACGACACCTGGGCTCACCTGAACCACAGCAGGAGGAAGAGGGAGCGGTGTGCCTGTCTGCAGGTAGAACTGACACAACAGTAATTTTACCATCTCACAACAGGACCTGACATTTTGGCAACTCATCCTAGATCAGAAGAAGTCAGTTGTTTGGCTTCTTCCTCCCACAAGCCAGGAGTGTGGGAAAAAAAAAAAAAGAATTGTAATCCTGGGCTCACCTGAACCACAGCAGGAGGAAGAGGGAGCGGTGTGCCTGTCTGCAGGTAGAACTGACACAACAGTAATTTTACCATCTCACAACAGGACCTGACATTTTGGCAACTCATCCTAGATCAGAAGAAGTCAGTTGTTTGGCTTCTTCCTCCCACAAGCCAGGAGTGTGGGAAAAAAAAAAAAAGAATTGTAATTTAAAATATCTCACCCTAAAAGCAGAATGTTTCAAAATTATTTTCATTAAACTTTTTTTTTTTAATTCCCCTTTTCAACAACTTAATTTTTTTAAGAGTTGATTGGTTTCCTCAAAATTTCTGACTGGCTCTATTTAGGCTGCATCAGCTCTCAAAAGCTTTAGGGAGCAATAGCCCTAAGAAAAATATTTAAATTTCATAATTAGACCAGTTCATTATATTTGTCAAAGCCAAACAAGTGAAAATTTTATTCCTTTTAAAAATTTACCAACTATTTTACTCATATAAAGACATTCCTGAAATTGTAATGATCGTTCTAATTCAGGCAGAACCAGAACTGTGGGAAAGACAAAAAAAAAAGCCCACAAAGTTTTTTATTTTTCTCAACTGCGTGTCCCCCAGCTATTGCTGGTGGAATTTTCCCCCTTTAGAAGAACATCCTTCCCTGGGAAGACTGGGCTGAGTATCCCAACATCTTGATGTTGTGCTTTTCCTCACTGTTTCTTAATGGGCTACCATAAGGAGCTCCCCACAGCTTGCAGACTTCAACAAATTTCTGTTCTAAGATGTCTGTCTCTCTGCATGGAGTAACAGGAGATGGCCAAATAGAAGACTATCAGTCTGAATAGGTGTCATGACATCTACATTTCAATCACCTTGTGCACCTGATTGGATGCATTACAATTAAAATAGTTTAAGGAGCACAGCCATTCAGTGCTTTTGGGGGCATTATTTTACTTCCCAGGGTTACAACAGTAAAAAAAAAAAAAAAAAAGAAGAAAAAATTGCATCTGAAACAATCCTCCGGAGGCATTTCCTTTGCATATACCCACTGGAGAGAATCTTTTCCATCATGAATTACTACACCTTCCCCTGTTTTTTCAGTACCATGCTCGCAGTCCAATGGCCTAGAAGCACACAAAGGTGAAAGAAACGCTTCTTTCGCATTGATGATTTGAAGCTTTTTAAAACTAAGTTAGAAGATACTTCCAATGTTTGCACTTAACTTCTTAACAGTGTAAGAAGTAGAATTTTTAAAAAGTGTGACTCACACTTGAACTGTTTACAGAACTTTGGATTATCTTGAAATCAAAGGTTGTTGAGCATCTTGTTTCCACTACTGTACGTTTTATTGAAATAAAAGATT